ATAGTTTTTGTGCAATTCAGTGTAATCTGAAACACATTTCTTCGGGTTCTAGAAATTCAGCCTATTTGAAGAGAATAGGAGATATTGTCTTTATGACACTACATAGCAGACTTGAATACACAGTATTTGCTGAGGTAGATTTTACTTTTATTTATAACTTGGCTTAACGGAAAAGAAAGGCACTTCAGACCCAAAATATATGTTATCTTCTCTGTGCACAGAAATTTATGAACAATCTCCCTTCATCAGGGGATCTTTACTGAAGAACAGTAAAGTTCTACAGAAGGGTGAACACCTGTAGAACTTTGATATTTTATAGTATCTGAGTGTTTGTTCTTAAAGAAGGATTTTCTCTCATTTCAAAAGCATAGATCCTTTTTCATTTGATTTAGTTCAACGTGAGACATATTTTCAGTGAGTACTAAGGTTATTTTAATCTTTTCTTTTGAATTTAGAAGAAAAACATATTTAGGTTTCAAACAGATACAGTTCTCTAAAAGGAAAATAAATAAGAGATTTAGAGAGAATAAACTTGCTTCAAAAAGTTTCAGGAGATATTAAATTCCTGGGAAGAGGAAAGGAACTGTTCCTGCCAGGAAGAAAGACAGAAGGACTCCTCAAGTGGAAACTGGATATTATAACTTGCTTTGCAATGTTTCCACCATTACTTTTATACATGTGTGCACTAAGCAAATGCATCTTTCAAGTACCTGTAATAAGTACTGAAATATTTTCAAGTATCTCTTCTTGAAAACCTTCTGCTCTTCCTCTCACCTCTCTTCCTTGCCAAACACCATATATCCAGTATTTTCCAAACCTTTCACTGGCAGTCTCTGCACTGCCTCTCCTCTCCTAGACACCACTCTCTCATGTTACTTCCCAAACACCAACAATAGCTTTTGCTGCTTCCCAGAGCTGATAGTGCCATTTGGGAGGGCACTACTATAATTAACTCAGGCATCACCCCAGTGATTTATCTTTGTCATCTGAGTCCTAGCAACACCAATAATCTAATGGGCTGGGTCCATTAGCAAATCAGTCCATTACAAACACAAAATATGAGTAGGGTGATGGACATTTCTTCATCCACTTCCAGCTCCCACGAGCATAGCACCTTAAAAATAGTACTTAGACTTTTACTGTTTATAGTAAGTCAAAGTTAATATATTCTTATCTCTTCTTACTAGTTAGGTTACCCAAGGAAATTTTCCTATGTATGTCTCTGCTTGGACATATTAGACACTGTCTAAGGAAGGGAATGAGAAAACTCAAATTATCACATTAATATTTAAAATAAAAAAACTCTCCTTTCAATTCCATCCAGTTAAGTATGTTACCTCATGGGGGGCTACCACATGCAAAGACAATACATTTGGCTCAAGAACTTCCTAAAATACATCTCACTGAAGGCACAGTCTGGCAAGTATTGCTACTTGCATTCTCTACTGTCCTGCTCTCCCTAAGTTGTCAGAGAAAGGCTATAGGCAGAGATCATATTTTGGCTTGGTCCTGGTGTTTTAATTTTTAACCAAACATGGACATGGTGGACTACAGATAAGTTTAATGAAAACTACACAGGAATAAAGAAAGTTCTTCTTTGTTTTCTTCTCTGTTCTTCTCTGTTTTCTTGATAAATGTCCCAGAAATAACTTAAATCTATACTACCCCCCTAAAATTGTCTTCAAGTATTCCTTTCACAGACCTATTTCGTTAAACTTCAGAAACTCTTGCCATGGCCTCCATTCATTAGTATCAACCTCTCTGACACTCAAACACCCTAAGTTTCACAGTAGCAAACTATGGAAAGAAACTTCTGCTGGTCAGCTTTGCAGCAGGTTTACACCACCTCTAACTGTAATTAGGAGCATCTCCTATATATATATTTATTCTTTTATCTACCATTTTCATTAACTATTTAGTCTTCTGTCATGAGTCATTAAGATAGTTTTTACATTTAGTTCTAAACATGATTAAAACTTGGTGCTAATAATGACAGCATCACAGTTTCTTCACTTGATGATCCTTGTGGGTCCCTTCCAATTCAGAATATTCTGTGATTCTGTGATTTTATGACTGCTTTTGTAGTGGAAGGAAGCTGTACAATTTACTTAAAATTTTTTATTCTTTCTTATAAGAAATATTAGGTAAATGTAATGTATCATCTAAAACTTTTTACTTGTCACATCACAAAACATTCAATTCTGGATAAAATATGGACAAAATATAATTTTTGACAGAAAACCTTTGATTTGTACTCTTTGAAATAGTAAAATTTTATATAAATCAATGCATATAAAAGAGAAACACTGATTTCCTGAGACACGAGTTTATGTACTATTCTTCAATGAATTATTTTGATTACTAATTTAATCTATATGAATATTTACATAGTATTACTTTTAGCAGTCAGTAAAGCCAAATGAAAGATGTTGGAAAAAACCCAGTAGTTGCATGAGGATCTGGAATTCTATATCCAGTGTTACTGTACAAGTCCAACATATAACCTCTGGGGATTTTCTTCCCTTATCAAAAAATATTAGGAAAAAATAAATCAGACAGGACATGGACATTAAAGAAATATTCCATCAGAGAGTGCAACATGCAAAGACTTGATAAAAATGAGTTCTTCAGCATGTACCATTTACCAGCTCAAACTACTCTGAGTAAAATAGTAGGAAAGAGCCCCAAATCTTTTCATAATCATGCATCTTAAGACACATTCTTGAATAACAGCAGTACTGTTACTGCATGCTATGAATAAGAAATTAATGAGTAATTGTGCTTAGGATTGTATTTACTGTGTGTGAAATTACCTGTCATTTAAACACGTTTTTTTCCACATAACTTTGAAATTTCTAAGAAGAGCAAGCTACAGCTTGCAAAAAAAATAAAAAATAAATAATTCTGTAAATGGTTATTTGTCTATGTTAGCAACACAAACATGCCTTAGGCTAGAAAAATTTATGCCTTGTTTCAAATCTTTCCAGATGTCTGTTTCATCAACAGAAATAATAGTGGTTTTGGAATTGTATCCCTTTTTTTCATCCTCAGACTACATTGCTCTAAGTAATTCCCTTTCACTTTAATTGCAGGTTTTTTTAGAAGAGGTTAATAAACATCCATATTTAAACTGTAGATTTTATGGGTTATACTTAGTACATAAACCGTTAAAGTTTTATAGTCTTTGCAGAATAAAATAATCATTGATCTTTTTCATTTGAGTGCTATTAAGACAAAGGATGCAAACATCAACTGATTAAAACATCATTTAAAATGGTTTACAAAATGTTTTATAAAATTTAGTTTTAAGTAATTTTACTCATCAAGACTTGACAAATCTGAAGAGTACTTCATTTAATTTCCTTTATGAGAATGTTTTGCATGCAAAGCAAAAGTCTGAGGGACCTTCAGTCCCCATAAATGGCTGTGCTTTGGATACTATGACTTTTCAACAAGTTATCTTGACTCGCAGTTAAGTAGACTCACAGCGCAGTACCCTCCAGCAAATGTGTAAGGCAGAATGAGATAACTCAGAAAGCCTATTCTTTTGCTATTACTACTCATCAGTTAAACAAACAAGCATGTGAGGTATTTAGATCCTATTGACTGTTTTAACAACAACAAAAACCCACTTAAATAAATTTTTAAAAATACACTGAAAACAAAGCTTACTGTGTGTCATTTCTAGGTATGTGGAGTCCTTTTCCGGAGATCACTTCCAGCCTACAACACTGTTCATGAAAACACCTTCAAGTTTATACTTCATGGCCTACCGTATGGCCATTTATTTAATAGTACAGTTGTGAGCTTGTAAAAACAGGATACTTCTGTCTCAGACCTTACATTTAATTATGGACATAAGAATTGGTGGAGAATAGTTAGAAGTTCACCCACTCTCACACGGCAAAAAGGATCAGCACAAACATCTCTTCCTCAGACACCAGGTGATGAGTGACTCGAGAGTGATACACGGCCTGAAAAATCCTAGAAAACTGTGAGCTATCAAAGAGATGATGAAAGTAGACATACTATATGCTCAGCCTGCATGAAGAGTGACACCCTACCCACAATGTAAATACAACCTGCAGGGGGCCAAGTGACCACCAGCATTGAGATATCCATAAGGATCTTGAACAAGGCCACAGAGCTGAACACCAAAAGAGATGGTAGATGGTGAAGGCCAAACACAGGCAACCCTATTTCGCACATACTTACGCACTTACACAAAATAAGTCTTCCAGACAAATCAAAACAGATTAACCAAAGGCACACATTACACACCAAAAATTGGACAGCAACCAGGAAACAGGTATGGTCAAATAATTTACATCCACATTACAGTTACAGAAAGGAATTCAATGATAAGTATTTTAATGTTCAGCAAGGTGAAATGATACAAACGCAGGCTATCTTAAGATACCCTAAAGATTTGCTTCCCAGGAGAATACACATCCTAGAAACCTGAATTTATTCTGAAAGCAATCATAGAAAGTCAGAGTACCCTTGATACAAATTTAACTTAAATAAAAATAAAAAATTTTAATTGATACTTTTTATGGTGTCTACCCATTTGTATTCAACTAACTCCTTGAAGCTCTCAAGACTACTGTATTCTATGTAATGAGAGGTGACAGTTGCTCATTATAAGCATAGGAGACTGCTAATTCCCTAAGTGAAACATAATCCTAAAATTGTTCAAATAAGTTCTGAGGAATCAGAGAATGGGTTGTGTTGAAAGGGACCTATAAAGATGATCAAGCTGAATCGCCTGCCATTGACAGCAACATCCTTCACCAGATCAGGTTCTTCAAAGTCCCATCCAACCTGATCCCTGAACACTTTTAGTAGTGGGGCATGCACAATGTAATATCTTTAATAATATTTTAATATAATACAACTTAATATCTTTAATATCTTCATTAATGACGTAGACAGAGGGATTGAGTGCACCCTCAACAAATTTGCAGATGACACCAAGCTGAGTCATGCTGTTAACACACCTGAAGGACAGGATGGCATCCAGAGTGATCTAGGCAGACACAGTATTCCTGGAGATCTGGATCTAGCCTAATCTAACTCAAAACTAGAAAAAGGCAAAAGAACTTAATTTCATCATGTCTCCTGAGCTGTAAATCTTTTTTGTCTGCATCAGAGAATCAGTGTTTTACTGGTATTTCAAATAAAACCCAGGGTGCAGATTAAGGATTTAAGTGTACAGGAAATAATTCTGGCCAATTAAAATAATCAAATATTTCATACTGATGTTGATTCATTCCTATTTTGCAAGCACCAAATAAAAACATCTGAATTGCCAGGATTTTCTTGTGTTGGCTCACTCCCTAATCCTCTTCTTCTCCTGCAGACATAGTTAAACATTCTGGACAGTGATGAAAATGTTATTATAATAAAGAATTCCTCAACCCATTTGTTATTTTTCTATTTTTCCCTATTTTGAAAAACATTCAGCTCAATAGCAATAGAGATATAGACCACAAAAAAGAGTAGACCTATTTTACTTAGCTAACTTATAATTGCAGTGCTATGCAAGGACACGAGCAAATCAATCCCCCTGTTTCTAGATACCTGTAAATGAGCAGTCATGCAAAGAATAACCCCAGAAGCAATAATCTCCTCTTTCTGACAAATTAAAAATTTGGTGCACTACAGTTGTTCACCTGATAAAGGACCTTTTCATGGAAATAACATTAAAAATCAGCACAGACTATACTTTTACTGCCAAGTTCTTCTATATAGGCAGTATTCCTTTTTGATTCACATCAGACTTCGGCCACTATGTTGTCCTCCCCTCTTCTGCAAACAAAGCATTCTGACAGCATGTCATCAGTACTGAACTTAAAAGGATTTTATATGATGAGGAAAAATAGTAATGTTATGCTCCTCTGCTGAATTAACTCAGAAAGCATAAAATAGAACCACTACGTAGTGATATACAAAAAACTTGGGTTTATTTTGTAAATTTAAGGCTGATAACGTCTAAAAAAGCTAACGTATTTCAGAGTCCTCCTCCACTCTTCACTATCAAAACGCTACATCTTATTTGTAACATCCATAAAATTGGCACATCGTTTCTGCAGCACATATCTCTCTTCTAGATAAAATGACTATCCAGGACAAGAGCCTAAGGAAAAGATTTTTAAAATCTCTTCTGGCAGCTTTCTGACAGGTTTTCTCCACATTTCCTGGCATAACTCTTCCCAGAAATACTTCTCAGCAAGCAGGTTTTCTACATTGTCCATTTCTATCAGTTGTCTGGCCACGATAGGAGAAAACTATACCTAAATACACAAGCTTCACCTCTATAAATAGAGAGTGCAGCCTTTGTGCTGCCCTCAAAGCTGCTAGGATGTTACACAGGTTGGTTTTCAGGAAGCAAGGAGTACCACATTAGCACTTTAACCTGAGTTGCCACTGGTACCATAACCTATGGACAGTGGATGCCCTTTACTTCTCCTCCTTTCCCATATGGTAAACCTTTACCAGAGCAAGGTGAAATATGAAGCTCTTAATATTACACCTGTGCTAATGGCATAGTACAAACAAACAGGAAAATCAGGGAACTGAACCAGGATTACTACAGATGGATCATGGATCATTTTCCATCCATGTTTAATACAGCTCTGACATTGTCTCTGTTCTTCCAAGTCATACATTTCTAGTCAAAACTGTAAACATGTTTCTTTCCAAAGGATGCTTATTTGGGAACCTTTCCACTGGCAACAAGGCTTTAATTTGGAGTTAGGGATGGAGCTTTTCAAGCAACATTACTCTTTCTGCTTATAAGCATTTATTCAGATCATCTACATTGTATACCTCTTCCATTACTGATTATGTTAATACTACAGTCTACAAAGTGTGATAAAATATCTTTTAGAAATTTTTCAGGAAAACGATCAGCATATACTTCAAAGAATAAGCAAACAAGGAGTGCGATGAGTTGCCTGATTTTCCACCTTGTAATGGTAAATGTCTTGGATTTCTAAACTTTAAATTCTATCTCTCGGGAGGCTGAAATATATAACTCTGAGAACTTCAGAAATAAAAAAAACCTGGTTTCTGATGTATCTGTGCTTTGGAGACTACAAAAAAGATCTACATGAGATTTTTTTCCATTGGAGGGTCCATCAGCTTAGGGTTGATGTTGACGTGTTGCAAAATTAAACACTTCTTCTTAGACCAGAGCCTTATACCAGTATTTTCCTACAAGTTAATTAACTTCTATACTTTGATGCTTTGTGAAATTTCTTTGCAATGAACAGAAACACCACATATGCACATTCACATGCACTCACTCATATTTAATACAAATGCTAAAGTATTGTATCTCCAAGAACTAATTCCTAGAAACACAGAGGCTTACCGCTTCTCCCTCTGCAGATGAAAATGCAGAAGTATAAAAAGTGTTTGTTAAACAATCTCAAATATTTTTCAGAACGACAATTTAATTATTTTTCCATTCCTCGACAATCTTCAAATTATATTTAAAAAAGCTACATAAGCATTGTTTATAGTCATAGTTTCTCTCCTTCAACAAAATTTAGCCATTTAAATCCCATACAGTCGATTCACCTTTTTAGATCAGATAAACTTGCAATGAACTTGTGATTCTTCAGGGTCTGCAACAGTGGGCTGTTTTCAGTTTAAACAGCTGTGTTGTTACAATTTCTTTTTACTTGTGACTTGAGGGTATCCATTTGCTTCACAACTAAGAGCATAGCACCTACAAACGTTCAGCTAACCAGATTGTTAATTGCTATGTTTGCTTTATACTTCCTTGTATAAATAGAAAATATTCCTCCTGAAACTGAATGGTTCAAAGGTTCACGTTATCTTCCTGACATTTCTCAGGTTACTCACTTTTTACTTTTCCTTCTACTCAGTGTCTGGAGATATTCCTGATAAAAGTTTGCATACCCCATGTTATCTCCTCTAGTCTCTTCTTTGATGAAAGCTTTTGTCTTTGTGGAAACCAGTGCTGAATGTTTTCTTCAGAGGCAGCCAGCAAAAACTGAGCTAGTTTTAGAGCAAAGTCATCAGTAACAAAGAAAGTAATCTTATGTTTGTAATAAACTGAAATAGAGTAAAAATGTTATAAAATACATCTTACTATTATTATTTGCAATTCTTAAAATCACTATTTGGTTTTATCTATTAGTTCCTATGTATGTGTCTGAGATTCACCACTGGTAAGTTACTTTTGCTTTCACCTCTCCTAATATTTTTATCCAGTTCATCTGAATCCTCAAATTCCCTTAAGACTGTCTTTAGATAAAATTAGAAGCATAACTGAAATGGGAGCATTCCTCTCTAAACATACAATAGAATGTCAGCACTTCTGTCATCTGATTTCTGACTGGAATTTAATATATGAGCTGTGAATAGCTTGTGACCTGTCTATAATGTGGGATTCATCTTAATGCAGATGCAATGGAGCCAATTCCTCATTACAGTCAGAAGAGAGGAATGAGAACTTTCAGGACTCACTTCATCTCACACCAAAGTATACATACAGGTGATTGTACTGCAAGATTCCTTTATGCATTTTTCTCCATGTAAAATGTTGGAGAAATTTATTATTTTTCTCCATTATATTTTGTGAGGAAACTTAGGCTGATTAGCTCAGATACCTATGTCTATAACAACCAAACTCTCAAGCTGAGAGACCGCTTATTGTCTCTGAAACGTCTCAATTTTTACTCATGTTTCATCTTGATCATGTTGTTTTCATAAGAAGGTTGTTGAAAAGTGGCCAGTAAATGGCCAGAACTCTGGACTGCACTCTAGCCTCCTGGCAAGTAGTCTGGACATGCTGCCAAACTCATTAGTTCCCGTGAAATTGCACTAGGGTGAAGAGGTCTTTAGAAATCCATTTCCTATGACGCAATCTATGACCCTGATGTCTCAATCAAGGGTAAAGCTAATTTATGGAATATACGAGAGAGAACCTCCATTCAGGTATTCTTTTACTAATCACCTGCTTGATCTTGTTTTAGCCACAGAGTAAAAATGATTCTCCACTGATACTGCATAGGATTGTCAGTGAAGTCAATGAAGATAAAGCATTATCAACAGCTGCAATTGTTCACAAACAAGCATATTTACAAAGATCATTTTTTGATTAAACACTTGTTTTCTGTCTCACATTCACACACTGAAACCCCTGTCACACATTCTGTTTAAAGTTTAGTATGACACCTGGTTTACCTTCTCCTTGGGCTGATAATGCTCAGGAGCTGATGTGTCCCCAAAAGTTTCATCATCTTGGAAAGAATTTCTGAAAATATGCAAAACTACTCAGTTGGTCTATCCATTTGTAGATTGTTGTTAACCAGCTCCGGCATATGAGCTAAACACAGCAGCATTCAATAATGTACTGTTCACAAAGAAAATGGGAACACTGAGGATGATGTTGCATGTCAGCACATACGAGAAGGCAAAAGTCACTTTACAATGTGAAGACTATGAGCAGCAAGGCAATTCTGTTGACAGCATCCTCACACTCAGGATCAACATATTTGCCAAAGGTGGAGTTGGCAGATGGCCACACATCAGAGGAATCAATACTTCGCATGGGAACAGACTTCAGAGTGCTGTTAAATGAGCTGTGAGTCTCACTCCTCAAACCTAGGCTCACTTTACAGAAAAGCTGAAGAGATTATGAGTCTATGAAGTCCAACAACAGTGCTTATACCAAGTTATATGATACTAAGATGATGTTCAGGAATAACAGGGTTTTGATACGAGTCTATTTTTACTTTCTTACTTCCAAATTAATACAAACATGACTTCTACACTCCTCCTTCAAAATAATTAGAGTAGCCAAGCAGTCTGTACAACAAGAAAGAAAGTGGAAATTTATGGAAGAACAAAAGATTAATAATTATTAAAATTTATCATTACATTCCATTTCAATTATGTAGAGTTAAACAACGAGCAAAACAATCTGAAGACTCTGAACTATATAAAATCCTGAGAAAAAAATATCAGAAATTCTAGTAGACATCTTTTAAAAATTCAGCCGGTTGCATTAACTACAAACAGTGATCACAAAGCACAACTGGTTAAAAGACCCCAACCCTAAAGCACACTAAACAAGTCTAAAGTTTTATCCATTTCATTATGAGTTATCAGTAACTTGGTTAAAACTAGCACTTTTTAAAACCTTGCTGCATACCTACACACTTTTTAAAATTTGAAAAGGTTTTTTTATAGTAGTAATTTTTTGAAATATTGTTTCTCTGCATTTTAAGAGTTAAAGTTATAGTTTCTCTGATCATTATTAATGCTGTGAATTACTTGAATTCAAGACTGTATAGTTTTGACAGTTAATTTTAACTAGTTGAAAGAAAAGTGAACATTCATGAAAGGCAAAATATGAACAATTAGTTATGGAAATCTGCTATTGATTATGACAAATCGCTCCTAGAATACCCATTCTAGTTCTTTTACTACTCTTAATTACTGTGATTAAGATTTCTGCACATCAGTTAGAATTGTTTTGGTACAGCAAATTCCAATCCCTCTGTGTCTCTCAAAGTACGTAAGCACACATGTTCTTAAGGGTTTTTTTTCTATATCTAGTATATGTAAATAAGGAAAAAAATTTCTAAGAGTACATAAAATTAAAAAGGGGCATAATTCTATAAAGTCAAAATTTACATAAACCCAACATAGGCTTTTTTTTTCTTTTTGAGCATTAATTATCTCAGACAAAAACGGGAAAATTGAAACATTCATGACATGTCAGCAGCATAATTAAAATACCTAAGGATGAACAAGATGTCTATCATCATACATAGCATGAGTAAGTAAAAAAAATTATTAAAGAGAAATATATTCTAAGATAGATTTAAACCTAGGACTTGAGAAATAACCTATCTTAATGTGAAAAATATACCCTGGATTGTTTTTCATTGAATACCTCAAATATCAGCTAACACTGTTCTCATTCTTACTTTAATTACCCTGAGAGCATTTGCTTTTGTAGCCTCTGTAAATTCTTGGTATTTCTCAGGAATGCTGTTGGAGATGAGATGTAGAATACCATCGCTCTGAAACTTTCACTCTCTGAGAGTTACAGCAAACTGTAAGTTAGCGAAACTCTTCATATCCTAAATTACAGTGGGAAACTCACAAGCCCTGGGAATGAATACAGCCTGAAACTTTTTTGTGTGTCACTTGGGATCATATAATTTTTTCCTCCTACATTACTTCTGACTAACACTCAGGTAGGCTTTAATTTATGGCCTAGCAGTGTGTCTGAAAGAGCTATTTGGCCCTCAGTAAGGGAGAGGATATTCCAGCTTTAATAGAGTACATAAAATTCTACTTTGTGCCCTCTTGAGTCTTCCATGGAAGCTGTGGCTCACTGAGGTGGACCATAACTGTTAGGAGTGTACTTACTGCATTGAAGTTGGGGAAGAGATTGACTGCTGCAGCAGTGTCCAGAGGAAATGGAAGAAACGGTTTAATATCCAGCGATGGCTGCAAAGGTGGTGCAGGAGGACGCACTAGGGCTGGAAGAGCAGGGCTCTGGCATGTGCCACCTGCATATACAAAGAGACAGAAGGTATTCAGCAAGTACTGTGATTGGGGGGAGGGAAGCCAATACAAAAAAAACAACATTGAAAAGCCAATATTGGATCAAACAAATACATTTTTATTAGTCCACAAATAACTGCATTACTGAAAAAAGTATAGCTGACTCAGTGACTATTGGTTACAATTCTTTGTCAGTAATTGCTTCAGGTGTCAGTCTATCATTTTAAAAATTAGCTCACAGACCATTTATTTCCATGGATTGTCTAGAACAATAGTCCAGCATACATCTGACGTCCCTTTAGAGTTTCAGCTAGTCTCATTCTCCTATATATAACTTCAGTGCTTCATCCCTACTCTGTTGCTCAACCCTACAAAGGCAGACTACTCCAAAAGAAAAACAACTTCAGCTCAGTAAGTCATGTCATTTGCAGACTTCTGATTTTTTAAGTAAATGCTTGCTCATGAAGCTAACAGCTTCAGTTTCAACATAAACCTCACAAACATGACATACCTTGTCACCTCAACAGTTGATTGATACAAATCTAAAAATCCAGACAATTTCAACAGCCACCAAAATTCTGTTTGTGGGAAGGTACCGATGAACACTTTCTGCTCTTTGCAAGGGTTGGAGATCATTCAGACTCTGTGCAGCAGAAAGCTCCTCCCAGCTAACCACCAGCTCTGTGGGAACGTAATGCAAATGAAGAAATTCCCTTGCATACTAATAAGGTGTTACCTGCTTGCAGTGGACCCTATTTTGCTCATTTGTTTGCCCCTTGCCACAAGCTGGAAGGATCCAAGCTCATTCTCTCCTTTCAGTGTCTCCTATGTTTTGGTGGCACTCCAAAACATCAATTCCCTGTTAATTAAAGACTATTTGGATCCTAGGAAACTGTTAAAATATGCCAGTGTTCTTCTAATCTGAGAGGCACACAACAGACTGTAAAAACTTTCTGGTAAGAGTCCAAGAAACAGTAAAAAAAAAAAGTAAGGGGAATTTTACCCCACTCCCTGAACAGACACAGTCAGACAGATCAACAGAAGGGAGAGATCCAAAATCTGTTTCTTTTTTTCCTCTCATACACACAGACACTTCATTAGACAAGTTGCATACATTCTTTAAGAGCCCAAATATAAAGCAGTCAAAATGATATATGGGATCTCTCTGTATTTGGCCAGCAAATCTGCTAACAAGGTTTGTCATTTTATGCATCTAATTGGTGGCTAACAACAGAGGATTTAATTAACCAGTGCAGAAGATCATTCAAAGTTGTGCTTCTAGGTATAAAATCAGCTGGAGCCAAATTCTGAAAGACTGTATTTTTCGCCAACTTTCAATGCCTTC